TGACCTGCAGCAGTACAATGTGGTAGCAGGAACGTGCATGCCAGGAGGAGAGCAGTGCTAAGGAACAATCTGGAGTTCTTGACTTAAGAAGCATAGCCTTGAACCAAACTGATTATGAAACTGTATCAATGTATTTTGCTGAAGGGAAGCTAGTAGCAGTTTGACTGTAGCATCTCTCCCACCTGACTTGCCAATCAGCTTAGATGCTCCTAATGTAGAGTCTAATGAAAACATAACAAAACAGAAAAATTCTTGTATTTGGAAAACAATGACTCGCAGCTCTCAAGGAAAACATCTAACATCTTTAAAATTGAGAATTTATCTTTTGTAAGAAACAGAGTTCACAGAGGAGCAGCTGTTCTTAGCCTTGGCAAGTATTTATATTGCTGCTCTCCCAAACAGAAAGCTAGAGTTGTCCTGTCTTCAAGGTCTGTTTGATAATTGAATGTGAACAGAGGCATGTTCTGTTAGACAAATGGTAGTGCCTCAAATAGTAGCTGACACTACTAGCCTTCAAGAGCATGACAGAATGCTGGCAAGTTTTTTCTTATGCTAATAGAGTGTCCTACCCAACATGTTTTATAGTTCTTCATGCTTATAATGGCACATCTATAATCATAGGATTGTCAGATGGCCACAGGGCAAGTGAGACTAAGAGGTGACACAATGTAACAGTTCTCACCTGTGTGTAAATTCAAAATAAATTAATTGTTGGGTGGGCTGAATTACAATGGCTGCTGGCTATAACCAGATTGGAGCTATAGGTAGATACTGGGAATATCTGAACTTTCGTGAAGGGTGGTGGGGTTTTTTTTTTCCTTGCTTTAAATGTTGTTGTACACCTGTGTCTCAAGCACTTTCCTCAAGAAATCTAGTCAGTATTTGTGTAAGCACTTATATAGAACAAGTGCTTCTCTCTTCCCTCAGGAAATAAATGTGTGGACTTGGTCAGAAATGGTTTGTATGAACACTAAGAACTTGTAGCAGTTCCGGTTAATCAGCACGGATGTGCTTTGTGCCTCAGACTTGGCTTGGGCAGTCTGCAGTTAGTATAGCAACAAGTTAATCCTCTTGGAGGAGGCCTCTGAGTGAGCCACGGGCAGCCCACTAACTCCAAGGCTGAAGCACTTGCTTAGTCTTGCAACCCTGCTGCTAAGGCAGCGTTGAGGTGTGTCAAATGTTCTCTTCAAATGAACGAACCTGACAAATCCAATTCCTCTAACTTCTGTTTTCTCATTCTTCGGTAGATTGTAATGCAGAACTCCAAACTGAGATATGGAGGTTTTATTCGTGCAGTACTGAAACTCTGCCTGTAGCTTGGATTACTAGGAGATTTAAGAATAGTAATTAGTTCTCCAAAGAGCTGGATGACTTCTGGTGTTCACTAGTCTATCTTTGTTAAACAAGATCGTAATTAAAGATAATAGCATGCTGCAGAATAAATTTACCTTGCCTAATGAAGGCAGTAGGCAGCACAGTGGAGTCTGAGGCATGACAAACTGCCAAATATGAAGTAATCACTTATAAGCACCTTGGACAATGTTGGGGCTGGGTATCTGTTTGCTCGGGTACTCATTTTGGAGAAGACTAACAGCAGTTACACTGTTTAGAGCCTCACAGCCCTACTATATGTCTTTTCTGCAAAATAGCCAGCCAGAACTTACTGGCTTGCAATCACCTTTTAATAACTTGTTACAGATATTAAATTATATTCTTGCTAACCTGGAAAAAGCCTGAATAAGTGAAAGTGAGAAAGAAGTGGACTGAACTCATATGGAACATAATATTGTTGTGCTCTGGCTAAATTACTATACTATTCATCGGTTCATGTCCATGACATGACCTTTATTAAGCCTCTCCAAGTTGAATAGCTTGGGTACAGCAAATTTTGTTGGAATACAGCTGTGATAATTTCATGAAGCTGGGAGCTGTGTAACAGCCTGGAAGTGAGACAGAGCAATTGCCTTTGCAAGCTTTGAAGAGTAAGCTTCTAGTTCTGCAGTGCAGCACTCCTTCTACTGTCATCAGTAGTGGTTTTATCATCTTTTTTAACCATTCTTAAGGTTACTTAAGTGTTTCTCATGATGGTAAAAACCAAATATGCATGTAGAGATTTCTCAGTGAGTGTTAACATGGCTGAGTAATGTGATGAAAGCTTCTCAGTTTCAGACACGTTTTCTTCATCAGCCACGCTCCTTACCCCACTTAGTGGGATGGAAGATCTAGCTAAAAATTGGTCCCTGTTTTTTGATATTTTTTTTTTCCCCCCTGTATGTGGAACAAACCAAAGCTATATACCACAGTGGGGTTTTGTTTTGCTTTATTATCCTCTAATGTAAACAATAAATTAAGCTTGAATAAGGTTATTGTGCAATATAATTACTGGAGTTCATGAAATTTTATTTTAGGTACTTTGGCTTGGTTTTAACTCAAGAGTTATCCTAAGCCTTCTTATGTGACTGTCTTCAGTGACATTTGACACCCAGTGTGCTAGTGCTTCTCTCCAAAACTGCAGTTTCGGGCACTTAGAGACTGTGATTGTTAATAAGAAGACGGTTTAAGACTTAATTGTTCAACTTGATTTCCAGTGAATGGAGTTAAACTTATATCACCAGCTAGTTGCCATACTATTTGGTTGGTCAAGGTCTGGACGAGATTATATATTTCCTTCAAAATAGAACAACCTGAAGGAATTATAAAACAGGCTTTGTTCGTATGCTGTGCGAGTTTTTAACTTCGAGAAAATAAACCTTGAGATGTGAATTTGAAGTTTAATATGGGTGTTCTTGTCAACTCACTGCTATAGCACAGGGAGTGGGATTTGATTTTTGTGTTGCTGAGGCTGCAGTCCATTTCTACCAAAGGTGCTGACTTCACAAATTCCTGGAGTATTTTAGTCAGGCTTCCCTTAATGCTCTGTTGCTTGCTTAGGACACAAAGAACTCGGTTTCTAGCAGTAACTGATGATCTGTGAGCGTAGTGGGTAGATAATACTGCTTGAAAGGTTTGCTTTTGGTGGTTTTAAGAAAACCCAAAACAATGAAAACCCCCACGACTACCTTGATTTCATCTTGGGTTAAGAAAAGCTGGCTGAGATGTACTTACTCTTGTTGTACAAAACTTCCAGACTCATTACGTGGTAACGTTTTAATGAGATGTGCTCTTTGCTTGGTAAAAGGGAAAAGTAATCAGTAGTTTAAGAAATAATGATTTTCATCTAAAGAAGATGAATTGCTGTTAGTAAGGGAAGTGTTTTCAAGCCTTGAAGAGACTTTTACTCTGTTAAAACAATGAGGTAAACTGAAGTAGTTGCTTCTATTTTGGTCCTAACTCCTTTCCATTTATACAGTGTGTGAGGCTTGCTAGTGTCTGTACTCTTGTGGCCATGATTATAAATCAGTTTTCTGCTTCTTAGGCAAGAGTTGTTTTTTTGAAGTACACAACTTCAGTTTCTTTTTCTGAGTCTAAATCAACAAATTAGAAAATCTGGTTTAATTTGTATTTCTCTGGGATTCCTTTGTACTTTGATTAACCTATCCTGAGGCACTTGATTCTTTCAGTTACTCACCTTTCATCTGGTCTGCTCTCAATCACCTGTGGAGTGGTAAAGGTGGTTAAGTCTTGGGTGACACAGGAGTTATGTACATGCAAATGTAGTATGATGTTTAAATGCTGTGAGTTGTTGCTGTGCTTATGTGGAAGGAAGGGGAGAGATTAGAGGTGCTTTGGAATGCTGGTCCTGATCTGCTTTTCAAGCCTTGTCACATACTATCCTTGCACTGACATGGCTGCGATTGGAATGGTGTGGGGGAAAGTGGGATGTGAAAGCAAGGCATTTGATCTCTGCTGCTCATAGGGTTGGACCATTTTTAAACAGGGCCAGGAAACACTCATAATCTTGTAGCCAAATGTATGTGATGCAGAGTAAAGGAAGCTGTCATTTTCTGCTGCTAGTTGATGTTTTGAAAACTGCTTGGAAGTTTGAGTATAATGGGTCTCAGTTTCCAACACAACTAGATGGCCAGTGCTGCGTTGCTGAAGTGGACTCATTTGCTTCCCTCAAACTTCAAGCAACTGAATATAGTGCCTGACTTGAATATTTTACCCCATCATACTTACTCGTGTAGGAGATAATGGACCCAGACCTTTATAGAAGCTCAGTCACCGAAAACTAAAGTGCTAGAGATTAATAAGCTGCTTTGGTTTGGACAATGCAGGTATTACTTGAATAAGCTTGCATTACCAGAATTTAAAATGCAGCTTATTTCTCTGAATATCTAACTTGAATTGGCACAAAAAAATTCTAATACTATTATTGGAATCAAAAGTTGATATGAAATACAAACTGTGCTGAGAAGCCTAAGGTGCTAAAGTCACCTAATAAAATGTGAATTTTAAATATTTTTGTGTTTTTCAAATGACTTCAATGGGGCATATTGAAAGTCAGAACTTATGCATGTATCTCTCTGAGGTGTTTTGAGTCTTTGGGCTACTTGTAAGTTTACTGCTTTTCCTCTTAAAAATGTTTTTGAAGTGGTCAAACTGAATGACTATTCAATAGAGAACCAATAAACTGTCTTGTCCTTAAAGTGAGGGATTGCACAAGCTGTTTATTTATAAGATTGTGCTTAGGATTCTTCTCTTCAGAGCACTGTCAACCTAGTAATCAGCTTGGAAGTAAAATTCTGTTTTCTCTTGTCATTTTAAAGAAGGAAAAACTGAAGTGTTTGTGCAAGTCAGTAGTAAAGGCATCTCGGATTAATAATATGTGAGTGCTCGAAGTCTGCAAAGCTTCTTGAAACAGGGAGGTCCTTTTGGCCTCTCAGATTCCTCTGTAAAGCAGTGCTTGTTAACCTCTGTGATGTTTGACTTCATGGAGTCCTAATACTGGAAAGGAAAAGTAATAATTCCTCCTGGTGGTCGTATGTTCACACAGCATGGTTGGGTGGCAGAGGGCTGTCCAAAGCACTGCATCCTGATGTGTGTTTTTTTGATTTCAGGCAAAAGTAAAGAAGCAGAGATAAAGAGGATAAATAAAGAACTAGCAAACATTCGATCAAAATTTAAAGGTAAGTGGCTTGATCATATTAAATTATATGTATTTCCTCAAATGACATTGTTCTGTGGGTTTTTGATTTTGCGTGTTTGGACATTTTGTCAGCTGCTGATGGGAGCAGAATGCTAAAGCAGGATGTTGGAATAACTGCTGAAAATGTTCTCTTAACTACAGAACTTCCTGACAGTGCTGTGATTCTTGGCCATAACAGAACTCCACTCCTATATCAAAGAATTGAGCTACTGTTCAGAAAAAATTGTCAATACTTTGCCTCCTAACCATGTGACTACTCAGCTTGTTTTCTTCCAGAAGGCCATGAAATAGTTTGAAGAAACATATGTGGATGTAATGATTTCCAGTAAAACCATATCTGTTTAAGCATCTCCTCCTTACCCCCTCTTTCCCCTCCCCTCCCCAACCCCTTTAGGGAAGTGATGGGTTAGGCTGTTTTCTAGCAGAATTAAGATAAAAACGTGTGGTGGTTGAAGCCATACGTCTTGACCACTCCCATAAGCAACAGCAATACACATTATTCATATGAAACAAAGGATATACAGTGACTAATTCCATCATCGTGTGTGTTCCAGAGGCAGCAATTCACTTTTAAACAACACATGCTGTAACTGTATTAAAATTTGTGTGTGCGGCTTCAGATGTTAAGGGTTCTGAGGGGTAGTTGAGATGCTGTTGAATGGAGTTCTGACAGTAATGGCTGTGACAAACAGTCTGTTTAAATAGATATGGGGCCGTGTGTGTAGCTAGATAAGATGTTACAGTGTGGAGGTCGTGTGTGGCTTCAGAATCTGCTGTATTAGGAATAAACCTGTTTACCATGATAATCTATCCTGAATTGGACTGGTGTATCTATTTGGAATACTCGGTGCATGAACAAAGCCTGAAATAACTTTCATGAATTTTATAGGGATCTCTAATTTTTAAGTGCTAAATCTCTCAAAGACTACAAAGACCTGCAAAGTCTTGAGTGTCACAACAGCTTGGAAGGGAAAAGTTGAGCACAGTGCAAGACATTCAACAAAAGTTAAATTCTTCTAAATTGCAAGCCATTATACGCCTTTGCGCTAACATTTTTCTCTTAGAAATTTCAGTGTACTTTATCCAGATTGGTAACTTTAGTTGTAGGATAACTGCGGAAATTTTACTGGATATTTTACTAAGGTAAATTGAAAGTTCCTTTTTTCTTTAGTCATCACCATATGCTGTCACATTGTTTTCAGTTCCTTCTCATTTCAAAACTTCTGTCTAACACTGTTGGTCTGTTTTTTGCCAGTAGTAGTACACTTTGCATAGTCTGTTCCACAGACTATTCTCCATCACCCAGTCCAAGTCTAAAACTTGCATCCATTTTCCACAGAGTGACCAGCAGATACTGCCTTCATGTATGAAGTATGCATGCACACTGAGCAACTAACACATAGTTCAGGGGTCTACCAGAAACCTGCATACTAATGTAACATCAGTTTTCATTCATTCCAGCTGTATGATCAAAGTGGATCATCTATTGACTAGTAAATTTAAGTGTAAAATTGTAACTTAAAACAGTTTAATCTCCAAGCAAGATCCATACTAGAGAAATAAATTTCAGCTACAGACTGAGTTTAATTAAAAATTGTTTAAGAAGTTTCTGTACACTTTAGAAGTTAATTGAAATTTCACGTTCCTGTATCTTTCAACTAATTTCATGAAGTTGGTTAACCTGGAAGATATAGCCACAAAGCATTCTTGTTTTCTCTTCGACTGTGTTTGTAAAACTACTTGCTGTCAGATAGCACTATTATGGCTTATCAGCTGTTGCTGAACTATGTATCAGCACCTAAATTCTTTACTTAATGGTTTAGACAGGACAGGTTTTTATAGAAAGCAGCATATCACTTTCCCTGTAGATATATTAACAGTTGTTCTGCCTATGCCCTTCTGTCATCAGGAGCAACCAGAGGTCAGTGCCTAGCTGGAAACCTTGCTGCAGTCACAGCAACACAGAAATACAGTTTTTTCAGCAACTTAACTTCAGGCTGCACCACGTTTTTATCTTGATTTAGTTGATTAGCAAGCTTTAGTTTGCAAAACGTCATCAATTTTTCATTAATGAAACTGGAAGCTTTCATCAGACTAAGTTTCAGTTTGCAGTGAAGGTTGAAAACTTCAAAAGGCATTAAAAAAAAAAAAAGTTATTGAAGCCCCTGTAGAACCTCCCTGCCTGCTGTATGTTCCAGTGTGCTTGAAGCAGGTTCTGTCAGACCTGCTCACCTCACTGCTAGAGTTAAACATGCTGTTGTAAAGGAATGCAATAAGGAACTGCTGAAAAGTTCATAATGGTTAAGGCTGTTTAAGTACTGACTTGCAGGGAGATAGTCTAGTTCTTACCGTTTGGGTGTTGTCAAATCCTATTAAGTAATCCTCTTTAGATAGAAGCAGTTAGTGTCTCGCTGCTTAGTAGCCCAACTGAAAAGCTTTGATCTACAAGTTGAAGTGGGGAAGCTAGATTCGAACCTCTTGCATACAAAAGCTAAGCATTCTAGAAAAAATACTTAGAATCATAGAATCACAGAATGCTATGGGTTGGAAGGGACCTTAAAGATCATCTAGTCCCAACCCCCCTGCCATGGGCAGGGACACCTTCCACTCGACCAGGGTGCTCAAAGCCACATCCAGCCTGGCCTTGAAGACATCCAGGGAGGGGGCATCCACAACATCTCTGGGCAACCTGTTCCAGTGCCTCACCACCCTCTCCCGGAAGAATTTCTTCCTGATATCTAATCTAAACCTCCCTGGTTTCAATTTGTACCCATTACCCCTTGTCCTATCACTACAGGCTCTTGTAAAAAGTCCTCTCCCAGCACCCTTGTAGGCCCCCTTCAGATACTGGAAAGCTGCAATGAGGTCTCCTCGGAGCCTCCTCCAGACTGAACAAGCCCAATTTTTGGGCTACAATACTTGGTTTATGTATTTTTAGTAACATCAGTTAAACTCCGTTTGGGTCCATCTGCACCCACTAACTTGCATACTTCTGTAAATTTATGTGAAAGAAGTGAATCGGAATTGTTTGGGTACCACAGCAATCGATGCAGCCTTCAGAATCGATTATAGGAACCTTTGGCTGTGTGGAACCATGAATTGGGCAACGATCAGAGAATAGAGGGGATTTCAGCGAACTAGTGCAATAACTTTAGCCTGCATACCTTGTGTAGCATCCTTTGATCACAGTTTAAATAGTTTTGAATAAATATCAGTGTGTGCCCTGATTCATTAGCTTGAGTGGAAGATAGCTAAACCTTCCTATAAGCTGATCTTCGTTACGGCTACTTTTATTATTAATCTGTATGGATTTTAGGTGAAACATCTCACAACTGAAGATAGCAACTTGATGTAGCCTGAGGGAAAACTAGACAAAAATGTCACAGTTTGGAAGAAGCTGAGTTTGGATAATTTGTTGTGTAACTGCTTGAAGTCTTGAGAATGTGAGGAGGAGATAGCACTTCTGCAGCACAAAGATATACTGCTACGTGGGTTTTGTGCTGCATGGTTCTTCCCTGCAGAAGGGTTGTATAAAAATAAACAGACATTCATAATGCGTTTTATTCTTGGTTTAAGTGGAGATCATTCAGTTTAACCCAGTTTCTTTTTATGTAGCTCTGACTTTTAAGAATATTTTTAAGTAGTTTGAATTAAGACAAATGTGACTGAATTTAAGATGGAGTCCCCTGCAGAATAATGATGGGGAATACTGGTTAATGACCTGGCAGAAGGTGCAGCTGTTGGCTGGTTGTGTTGCTGTAACCAGGGAATGGTCTGACTAAGCAGCAAGGCTGACTGTAGGGCCTCTTAAACACAGATACGTTCTTGCTTGAGACCAGCATGAGAGACTGGTATGCCACCAGTATCCTTTCCTTCTGGGGAGTATCCAGATCCCCAACCATGTAACTTGCCAGATATGTTCTTGTACTGTTACAGACAGGCTAAGTATTTCTACTTTAATATTATCACTCAAGTAGTTGGCAAGCCTGTTACCTGCCTTATGTTTGGGTAACCTGCTATTTAAAATATCGTGGTACTTAACAGGCTGGGATGAGGCTGCATGTCTCTGGAAAAGCCATACTTCTTTTGAAGTGCTGGAACGTACACCATGGCTTTGGGTTCTGATCTGGCTTCTGTGGTCCAAGCTCAGAAGGAACCTAGAATTTCTGTACTTAACGTGACTTTAGCTCTTGCTTCAGCACGCATAAGCTCCATTGCTGAGGTCAGTGTATCCTTGATGGTTGCTTTAAATGCTTCTGCATTAACTGAGATAAGATGCATGTTGTAGAGAGAAACTACATCGGTGTATTAAAGCAGAAATTGTAGGAGTTAAGTGTGGAGAAATACTATTCCTTTTGGTTTATGTGTTTAGACTGTAAGTTGATTTTGCTCCCAGGCTAGAAGTCTGTCTGTCAGAGTAGTAATTGCTTTGTAAATAAGTGAAAAAATATGTTTTATTAATTTGCTGCAGAATTTGTGTACTAATGAAACTGCCCACAGATCTATAAGCTATTTCTGCAGGAACTTTTTTCTTTGCTTGATTCAGGGTGGTTCTTCCCAGATATGGGATGAGGAGGTAGAGAAATCGCAAGGAAAGCGGAGCCTGGGAAGGAGGGAGGGGTGGGGGCAAGGTTTTTAAGATCTGCTTTTTTGCTCTCATTATCCCACTATGGTTTGATCGGCAACAAGTGTAATTGGTATCCCCAACCCCACTAAGGCAGGACTGTTCTGCTTGTGAATGATCCCACTCTGTCCTTGTCTCAACCTACCAGCCTTTCATTATATTTTCTCCTCCCCATCCCACCCAGAGGGAGGAATGGGCAAGGGGCTGAGTGGTGCTTAGCTGCTGGCTGGGCTCTAACCATGACAAATATAAAAGTAATAATTATTTCTAAATAATAGCACTATTTGTGGATCAACTGCTAATAATTTCCTTCTTAGAAAAATGACTAATAAACTTTCCAGGGACAGCAAGTAGCCTTTGAAATGCCCACTGTGCACAAAACCTGCTGACGTGTTCTGAATCCTTCCTGTTTCCGCTGACTTGATTTGCGGTACTTGCAGATGTTCCTGAAAGCATTTAAAAGTGAGCTGAATTAAAATACATTATTTTGTATTGCAATAGAGATAACGGAGCATGTGAAACTTCCTTCTACTCTTGTTAGGACATTTGCTTGAGGCTGGGGGAAGCTGCACTCTTTGCACATGCTTAAATACTGAGACTTGTCAGTAATGTTTAAATAGACCCTTTGTAACTCTTCGTAAATGCTACCTGGAAGGAGAGGAATTAATAATTAAACTTGAAATTTTAATATGAATCTGAATCAGACTTCTTCCAAACACAGCTGGAGTTAGGTAGCTAGAGTGAGACCTGACTGCAGTGCTCTTTTTCAAACTGCGTAGCTAATTCAATAGTAAAATGGGAAAAAAAAAAAAAAAGACTGTGTTCTGTTATTTCTGGGAACTAATAAGGCTTTAAAGAAGAGTTCTAGTAGCTGTTACTTGTCTTAGTTTATAATCTTGCCTGGTATTGAGAACCTTCAGATTGCCTTTAGTTCTGCATACAAGAGACTGCTTTTGAAAGCAGTCAGTAAACTATTGTTTTCTGTCTTAAAAAGTGTCTCAGGTACTGATTTTACAATATTGTTCTTTGCTAGCACATGATGGGGAAGGAAGCTGCTTTTTCCTTGTCAGTAGGATGGCAATATGTTTTGAGCTTGATAGCATGGCATAAGCTTCCATCAAAAATTCTTCAAATACTCTGAGATCCAAGGACCTTGCTAATCTGAGCTCTTAAAATACTGGTATCTTGGAAGGATATGCTTTAAATAGGTGGGTTCTAAACCTAAAAAAAGGAAATGCCAAACCATGACAAATACTTTGTTGTGAAAGTCAGCGTGGTCCAGAGTATACATCGCTTTCATGTGCTTGTGTTCTTCACAAGTAAGTGGGTTTCAGTATTCCATACTCCCCTTCTGATCTCAGAAAGTCAACCCCAGAGCCATTTGAGAATGAGAGAATAGGTTTTATACTGCTGATTTTAGTGTATCTGCTGATGGATTGTACACTAACAGGCAGCTGTCGTTCAGTCTCTTGGAATCCTGGGAACTTCAGTCTTGGAGACTGGTTTTTTTTCACTTACAGTGAAGTTCATGTGAAAGCTGCTTTCTGATGCCTTTTGGTGTATCTGTATCTCTGAGAAGCAACTAATGATATTAATGCTATTAAATACCATAGCAAGTCCTCAATTAATGTGGATCTCAGCCAGTAGAGGAACACTGACTGAAATGGATTCAGCTGATTTAATGTCCCCTTCTGTGAATCATAATAGTAACTGGTAACAGTATCCAGCATCACCTCTTCCTGTAATCAGTCACCTGGAAACTGCTGGCTTCTCATGAGCTGGCGTGCGCTTTCGCTAAGTAATAAAGGCCCTCTGTTTTGTTCACTGATTTTTATTTATTTATTCTTTTCCTTCCAGATCTCATGCAGAAGAGCAATTGAAAATTAAATCCTAAGAGCTTGTAGAAAATTTCCTTAAAGAGCTGAAAAATGTTTACAAACAAAAGCTGTCATTCTCTTTTTTTTTTTTTTTTCCCCTTGTCATTCCTAAGGAAGGAAGGTGTCTTTTCATCTACTGTGATGGGATGGGAGGAAGCTTCTGCTCTTGAGTACCATTTGTTTTGGAAAATAGTTTAACAGGGGGTATTTATTTTCCCTGCTATAAAGACAGAAGACTTTATTCCTTTGCTGCTCAAGATGTAGTTTGAAGGCCACAGCAGATATTCAGCCATGTCTGTCTGTCTACCCTTTCCTTTGGCCATATTGCTACCAAAGAAGGGGGCGGTGTGGGGAACTGATAACCACAGTTGCACCCATCACCCTCAGTTTCACTCCGGTTCTTCTGATGTTAATTCAGATGTCCAGTAAAGCAAACTGCCCTGGATTTGTGTGCTGACTCAGCAGGAAAATAGCCTTATGGCAGCAAACTGTAAATGTGACTTGAAGAAAACATGTCTTTGGGCAGCTTTCTGCAGAGCTGGCTGTCATCAGAGGATCTTGACAGGATCCAGTGTAACTGGATTTCACTGTCATGACTATCCTCAGTAAGGCTGCTTCACATAACTAAGGTGTGACATATACTGGTTTCTGTGGTATGGACCTGAAGGCAACTTTTCTTTGCGCAGCATAAAAATAACTTTAAGGTAAAGCTTCTTTTTGTTGGCAACTGATGTGCTGTCTATGCCAGTTAAAAGAAAAAAATCAACAGTGTCTAAAGACTCAGATTTGAAGAGTGTCTGTCCATATTAAAATGGCAGTAGTTTGTTTACATTTTTCTCAGTTAAAATAAAACTAAATAGAAGTTTCTGGAGTCAAACTGGAAAGCAGCCCCCCAAAATGCATAGTTGTAGCCTGTAGACATAGCCTTATCATTGTCTACTTCAGTGTGCCAGTATGCTTTCTCTTGGTTCCCTAACGTTGCATGGCTTCACACATCGATGTAGTGTTCATAACTTTAATTTATAGCGGTAAGGTTTCTGCTGGTTTTATACAGTCGTGTTTCACAGTGGTGTGAAGTCTGTGGGAGCTGTGGATGCGTGCAGCATGAGAAATCTAACCTGCTTCTGCACCAGTGGATGAGAAGAAGGAAAGAACTACTTCTACACTAAGATTCTTATATTTAGCTGCCTGTTATATAAACCTGAAGGTTTTTTTTTTTGTTTTTTTTTTTAAATGCAGCTTGTAGCTATTTTGTAAGGGCAGTGAGTTAGAGATATCTTACTTAAGCTTTACTTTATGCAGTGCTGTTGTGGCTGATCTCACCCATCACTAGGGAATACACACTGATCTGACAGACTAGTCATTCTGGGCCCAGAATGCAGAGGCGAAGGAGTTTATATAGCCTTGTAGGCAGCAGCATGTATCAAAATTCTGCTGCTTTGACTGAACTCTAGCATTCACGCTTGCCTGATTTAATGGATACATCTTTATCTCCTGGTTTGTGCTAGGGAGAGAATGTTCTTCCATATGCGTATGTTCCCTTGTAGCTCTTTTCTTCAGGAAATAAGTGGTCTGCCTGATGAGCTGTAAGCTGCTCTACTGTTCCATGTAGCTTTTATAAGCTTTGAAATAAAGCAACACTGCAACGTAGGGCCAAACCAAGGGTGCATTTTTATTCTAAAACTCAAACACTGTGAATACTTTTCATTTTACAAACACTTTAAAGCTCTCATGGTAATTTTAACTTTCATGTGGGTTTTTTCCTCAAGGCTTTGGGATATACCACCATCATTTTACCTTTCTAAAAACACTTGCTGGTGCCCTTCAGGGGGTGTTTTAAGACCATTGACTGTGATAAAGATTGATGATTGGGTTAACAAGAGAGCATGTGTACAGAAGACAGCTGCTCTTAACAGAAATGCAAAAATCAAAATTAAGGGGACATACATGTGCTGCCACTTAGCAAGAGAGTACTTTAAAGACACTGCAGGACGATATCAGGGACTAGATGATAGTGTTATTTCATGACCGTCCTCCAGGATATAGATAATGGTAAACAGAATTGACACAGAATTATTTAAGTTTTGGGTTGTGGGTTTTTTTTTCTTTATAAACTAATTTCAAATTTAGAAATATTTGAAAGTAGTATCATGTGAATGTCTTGTTGATGCAGTAACAGCTCAGCTTTTTCAAAGTTGAGCATTTTTCTGTCTCAGACCATGAGGAAGAGCTACAAGCTAGCTGTGTTCTCTGACTGGGGATAATTTTTTTTTAATTGAGGAATTGTTGGATTGTGTGACATCGGTTGATGATGGTTTGTGATAACTTTCATGTGTTTAGCACAAAATGATGTAAAGACTTACAGTCCTTTAAGTCAGATAAGTGGATATATTTAGCATTTGGTTCACTGTGGAGTGAATAAAAATTGAAATAATACACTTAAAATTTGTGAAATTCAACTACATCAGTAGCTGAACCCTCAGTTTGTCCATCTGGTGTAGGGTAATACATAGTGAATCAAGTGCCAGTCTTAATTGGTAGGTACAACTGTAAGTCTTGTTACTGTAACATGGGTTGAAGTACTTCAGTGGAAATGGGAGGGGAGAGTAACCAGATACAGGAACAACACAGGCTTAATTATTCTTCGTTTCTTGCTTTCCAGGTGACAAGGCTCTGGATGGTTACAGTAAGAAAAAATATGTCTGCAAATTGCTTTTCATCTTTCTCCTGGGGCATGATATTGACTTTGGTCACATGGAAGCTGTGAACTTGCTCAGTTCCAATAGATATACAGAGAAACAAATCGTGAGTAACTCAGTCTCTGTAAAACATAAGCTGTTCTATTATCCTGCATGAGCTCTGTAGTTTGTAAATCACTTTCCTTCCCTTCTCCCCCATCCCTGTCTTAAAGTCATTATTTTGGATCTAATAGTGATTCTGAAATCTAAACACCTTTTTGCACAGGGAGTCTTTTACTAACTGTATAAGGTAAAATGCAGTCTGTGTAAAATTATTACTCCTGTTAAGAAACTGCCTTGAGCCTTGCATTAAAAGGTAAGTAATTTTTAATTTTTCAGAATATCCCTTTGAATTTTCCTAGCTAAAGTTGTGTTTATCAGGTACATGTAGCTTACTAGTATTGGGTACATGTAACTTGCTAGTGTCTAAATAAGCCAAATTCTTTATTTGCTTCCATTTATCCGAAGTAATCTTTTGAGTATATGCTGAAATAAATTGATTGAAACATGTAAGAACTGGTAAATTAAGGTAACACTAAACTTAATTTTTTTGTTTACTTCATGTACTCTTTCTAGCCTTTCCACTGCTATTTCTACTGGTAGCAGGAAGCTCCTTTTTCTCTGGTATTGCTATGAGCAGAAATAAGTAGGTTTTGTATTGGAGGGGAATTGTACATCTCAATTGTTTGTGGCATTAACAGAAAACAATAAAAATTTATTTCAGCGGGCTTAATTGATTTCTTTTTTTTTTTAATCACAGGGATATCTCTTCATCTCCGTGCTAGTGAACTCTAACAGTGAGCTGATTCGCTTAATTAACAATGCGATCAAGAATGATCTGGCCAGCCGCAACCCCACCTTCATGGGGCTTGCTCTGCATTGTATTGCTAATGTGGGGAGCCGGGAGATGGCAGAAGCATTTGCTGGAGAAATTCCAAAAATACTTGTAGCTGGGTAGGTATGACATGCCTCCTTCAAATACACCAGTAAACCTTTTAGCAACTGTTCCACTGCAGCAGCTTAATCCATGCCCAGAGCTATACAACCTGGGCTTGCAGTACAGACAGTGACAATTTCCAGTAATTGCAGATTCTTTGACACACCTGAGCATGGGGATGCCTGTACCAGTGTACAAATACAGTATGGAAATTGATACTGTCAGGATCTTGAACAGGCCTTTGTTGTGATCAAGTTTGTTATGTATAAATGTGTGGCAATGGACACCCCTGAAAACTTGTATGTTTTACTTTCCTTACCTCTCCTGATGAAAAGAAGAAATAAGTGAACCTAAGCAGATGATTACGCTACAAATTTAGGGGTAAACTGAAGCTCTTATTTAAATGGTCCTGACTTCATAAGGAATGTGAGAATATTCTGTTGTGTGAGCTTTCTTGCTTCCTCCACTAGCCACGTAAACGACAATTCCTGAAAATAACAAATAGTCACTGCCAACCTTCTAACTTTCCCTTTCTGTTGCTAGAAATCTCAATGGACGTGACAGTTGTCTCGAACTCTACTTAAGTAAATCTCAAATGAAACTTGTGATTGCAGGGCTAACTTATTTTGAAACTTAAAACGTCCAAGTGTAAACAGTGTGTTTAAACTCTTATGGATATGTCATGTTTTGGAATATGCAGGAATTGTTTTATAACAAACTAATGTCTTACATTACATTAATGTAAAGTAACGTGTTGCATAAGAACTGTATTAAAACTCTAAACGTCAAGCACTGGAGCTTGCGAATGTTGGAAATGTGCTTACTTGTGCACACTAATTCTGTCTATTCTGTGCAGTCTGAACTGGGACAAGAGGAAGTATATGACATGTGATCTCTAGTTCTGGCAAAAGTCTTAAGAAATACTTCTGAACTCTTGAAATAGTGTCTCTATAATGCCACACTTGAACACTTACTATTTTGCAGAATTGAAATGTAGTATGGGCCAAATAGAAAAAACAAGCAGCTAGCACTTGATGCTCAGTATGGATCTGGTCTGGTGGAGGGAATAGGGGAGAATCTATCCTGTGATTTCACCTTTCTCGGATGTGGAATTCCCTACGTAAGGGCGCATGTTTGGAGATGGCACCTTCCAGGGCCATGTCAGGCTTATTGCTCTCCTGTCCTGCATGCCCTTGCCAGGTGGTGTTCTCCATGTAGCATAGTGGAGACAACACTGTGGTGATGAGTCACGGGTTTTGATAAAATAACCTTGAAGTTCCAAAAATTTCACTTAGGGTCATCCATCACAGAGCACAGCACTTTCAGTTCAGACTTACTTGTACTTTGAGCTGTGCTTATGTTCTGGGATCAGTCATCAGAGCAACATTCCTTCTGCACTTCTGAGAGAATATATATTAAAATGTGTATGTGGACTTGTCGTATCTAAGTGACCTGTACAGCATTGCATTTACAACCTGTACAGTCGGTTACATTTGCAACTCTAGTGTAGCTCCCTTGGTTTGATATAAATTGGAGGGGAGGAATAAGTTTTGCAGTTTTTGGGTGAGATATGTGGGTTTTTTTAAGCGAGGTGCAATTTGTTCTCATGGTAAATTGGTAAATTCATAAAGAATTGGTAGTCTGAACTTCTGCTAGGGATGCAGAGGTTTCTGAACACTTACCCAAGGTCGCACGGTATAAACTGCCTCTTAGAACTTTCAGTGCTAATGCTCGGTATGTATTTAAGCTGTTGTTTGTGCAACATAGGAGATGCTGAATTGACCAAGGGTGCTCACTGAACTAGAATAGCAGCATGGTGCTCTTAAAATAGTCCATTTCTGTGCCAGCAGCATGGATGGCAGGGTGAATCAATTTGTGGGTTACGTGCTTGGTGATAGCTAGCTGACTTGTACGTTAGCTGTAGGCACTGAAGCTGTTGACTAGTTAATGGTTTGTATCTGGTATGCAGGACTGTCAGGAGATCCAGATTTAGTCACATGCACAGTACAGTGTACCTTAACAGTGTGACTTGAGTCCGTTCGGAAGAAGCTTGTTCTTGTGATTAAATGAGCTTGTGCTTATCTAGTGATGAACTTTCAGTTCTGATAAAAAGATGTTAAATGTCACTCTAAGGTATGAAGAATCATACAAACTACTAGATACGTGTAATGGTTGAAACTGTGATTAGTTAAACTTACTGGACAAAATAAAGAACAAATACTCTAATATAGGAAGAATTTAGTGAACCTGTATTTCAGCTTCTGTTGAAATTATGCTACCTGGCTAGAGATGGTGAGTTAGTGCAAAGGCTAGCATAACGCTGGCCTGCAAGTATTGCTGTAACTTAACCACTGTATTTTAAATCCATATTGCAGAGATACTATGGATAGTGTGAAGCAGAGTGCTGCCTTATGCTTGCTGCGTTTGTATAGAACTTCTCCTGACCTTGTCCCCATGGGAGACTGGACATCTAGAGTGGTGCATCTCCTCAATGACCAGCACTTGGTAAATCAGCTTCATTATGCATCTTGGGCTTACTCTGTATAGAGAATTATGTCATTTCTGCTGTTAAAGACACTATTTATTTCTTCTTGAGTTTTTCTAGGAAGTGTGGTGGTGGTTTCTTCAGGCTTGGGGAAGGAAACTGAGTTGTCCTTTCCTAGTTGCTGTACATAGTAATTTTTGTAATAAAGCTTTTTTTGCCTTTTTCTAGGAGATATAAGAATGGTATACACAAATTCTTTTGCTCTGGCTGTACATAAGTTAATCTTGTGCCTTGTGATCCTAGGTCATATTGCATAGGTCTAATACAAATTTTACTAGGCTTTTTAAGATTAGAGCTGCACTAAAAATGAGAGGCCTGGACTTGTGCTTGGACTTCCTTGTCCTATTGTGAGCATGCTGTCATTCTTGTCTTGCTGGTTCAGAAAAACGTATTGTTCTTGATAAGAGACTTTTATTCCCCATGTCTAGTCACTTTATGAAAGTAAGGCTGCTGAGACCTGCTCTCCACCAGTACTTTAGTGTGCAGTAATATAAAAAGTTTGTCTTCTGTAACGTCCTCTCTTGATGTTGGGTTGTCATAATTCCTTCCTGGATGATCTGCTGCATCCTAATTCTTCTACTCATGCTTCTCTTGTGTAACAAGCTAATTTGCATCCAGGTTATGTTTTCCTATAGCTCTCTTATCTGAGATGTACTATCCAAACATGAGGCAAAGCTAATATGAAAACAGCATGAAATGCTCTGCAAGGATATAGTGTTGTTGAAAATCCTGTTGGATTGTGAAGATGTATAATTAATCTAGCTGCTAGCCAAATAAGGGGCTTCTTAGTGTGAGGCTTTGTCATGGGAATAAAATTAGATTTGTTATATATTAAAAATACTTAAATCAAAAGGTGTTAAATGACAGCATCTCAAACCACTGCAAACCTGAATGTAATGCTTTATTTTTTTTTTCTAGGGTGTAGTTACTGCAGCTACAAGTCTGATCACCACTTTGGCACAGAAGAACCCAGAAGAGTTTAAAACTTCGGTCTCATTGGCAGTGTCTAGATTAAGCAGAGTAAGTCTAATGATAACTGTGATAATACTCCACTGTTGCTTAAATTACTCAGCTTTCTAGGTCATGTTCACTTACTGTTGCTTATTTATTCACATTTCTAGATCAGATTAGTTTAGTGTACCATTAAAAGTGAAGGTGGTTCAGTTTCACTTCATACAGCTGGTTCAGCTAATCTCTTTTAATACTTGCTGTTTACCCAGGCAGAAAACTATTAACTTGCCCAAACTTTCTTGGTGTAATCCTTGCTCTGCTCCAGTCTATGTAGCAAAAAGGTGTCTTTCTCAGCTTCTTGTATGTGAAAGGAACCTCCTGATTGTCATGGTTTAGGCCCAGCTGCCAACTAAGCACCATGTTGCTGCTCTCTCGCTCTTTCCCCAGTGGAATGGTGAGGAGAAAATATAATGAGAGTTTGTGGGTTGAAACAAGGACAGGGAGGGACCGCTCACTGATTATGGTCACGAGCAAAACAGACATGACTTGGAGGAAAACAATCAATTCATTAACAGATCAAATCAGAGTAGGATAATGAGAGAGAGAGGACCTGATCTTAAAAAACCTTCCTTGCACCCCTCTGTCCTTCCCAGGCTCAGCTTTGCTACCAGTTTCTCTACCCTCCTCCCTGCCAGTGGTGTAGGGGAATGGGGAATGGGGTTGTGGTCAGTTCATCACACATTCTCTGCTGCTTCTTCCTCCTCAGGGTGGGGAGGGCTCCTCACACTCTCCCCATGGCCTGCTGCGGGGTCCCTCCCTCAGGAGACAGTCCTCCCCAAACTTCTCGGACATGAGC